CTGCAATCTGTATACGGGGTAAAAATGGGAGTTCATAACCCACTTGAATCAAAGTTTGAAATATGATATATCAAGAACTATGTAATGTTTTGAACAATCAACAATAAAAAAATAAAACTTCCTTCACAGTTAAAAAAAAAAGATGAAACAAGATGTGTGTAAGGTGGTCATTGGTAAAGCTGGGTGACAAGGCACATGGGGGAATCATATTTGGCTGGGCAACATACCCCAGCCTTTTTTTTTTCAGATAGGGTCTCATTTAGCAAAATAGTTTTCATTTAGCAGAAGAGTGTTTTATTTGAAAACATTGGTAATAGTTCAATCATGCATTCAGTTTTGGTGTACTTTTAAGTTGATGTTCACAAATCCAGTTTTGGCAATGATAAGCTAGAAAAACCTCCTGGAGTTTGAAAAGATGACCTATTATCTGCTTACAAGGCTCAGGATCAGCCAGAGTGGGAGAGCAGGTTTTGCTGTCTGTACAAAAGAAGTTAGTTAGAATGTCAGTTGTAATAAATATCTACAATTTTCTCTTTCAAGCTGTCTGTTTTACAGAATGCTTATGTAGGTAAGGATCTTAGAAACACTTTCTTTTGAATATTCTGACCATCACAGGCCCATTGACCCCACAGCAGAATAGAATTGCTACCGCTGTTCCAACCAGCAATGACTAACATCAGAGGAAGCTTCTCCAAAATCTGGCTAGCTTCTCTTCAGGCAGCCTTAAGATGCCAGTTCCATCAAATCTCTCCAATATTAACCACTTTGTGCCTCAGGATTAACTGATTCTGTTTTCTAATTAAAAAACAACTTCATTCTATTGTCAACTGCTACAGATATACACAAGAGCAGGGACCCTGCCAATGAGAGTCTCAATCTAGTGCTTAAAACAGCCAACATATAGGAGTGGTGAGGTCGGCACAAAATGCAGATTGTGCAGAAAGCAGAGGGACAGGGCAAAGTTTCTCAGGTGATGATATTTCAGTGAAAGCTGGCCCTGTGGCAGGTAAGGAGGAGGCATTCCGGGAAGAGGAGCAAAAGCCCAGATGTGAAAGAACATGGTGTTTTAAAGGAAAGGCAATAAATCTAGTCAAGGAAGGAGGAGGGCCAGGTGCCAAAGGTGTGCTGTTGGCGGTTACAAAGTCCATGTGCCATCAGATGATGAACTCAAGACGCTGAGGGCTATTCAGGAGACAGTGACATCATCCGTTTATATTTAGGAAAGGCAACCTGATGTCAGTGTGCAGGAGACTGGCAGAGACGAGCTGGGAGCCACAGTGGGAGTCGTGAAAGGTGGTGACAGCCTATGCTAGGGTGGTGCTGTGAGAACCAAGGGGACGGATTTCAGGAACATTTCTAAATAATCAGTGACTGAGGACCAATCAATAGTACTGAAGATCTCTACCTGGGTGAGGTGGATGTGGAAGCAGAGCAGCTGTGCAGATGGAGGTGGAGGGAAGCTCCTGAAGTCCATCTGGTTTTCCCATCCTGACACTGTGGACTTGGAAGACTGAATGACTGTGATGTCACATGGATTTTTTAGTTTCACTTCTAAGGAAGAGTTCTCTGGAACAAACCTTGCTGTGTCATTCCTTTTTCCCGTCAGGGGCAAGGCTTACTTGGAAGACGGAGCAGATTGCACATTGTCACATGCTATCTAAAGAACATTCCAGAAGGTGACATTTACCCAGGTAACCTTGCAGGATGCATAAGTCTTTGAAGTTCATGTTCACAAATGGAGTTTGCCCAGGAAGAGAGAATGGCATTTGAAGCAGGCCAATCCAATTAACAACATCCAACCACTGTTTGCTCCCCCGACCTAATTTTCTCACTGCTATCAAGGTGCAGGATAATATAATAGCATGCCTGACACTGAGGGTGGAGGGAAGGGGCAGGAACGCTGCCTAGTTTAGCCTCTAACGTGCTTTATAGTGTTCTTTACTTTTAAGAAACCTAAAATTTCAACTCAGACTCTCCTGACACTTTTGACTCTTTTTTCAAAATCAGTGGAAGAATCAAGAGTTGTACATACCACCATAACTGGCTTCAGTTTTTTACCTTTTTTTAAATGCTAGAGAACATACTTGCAGAAAAGAGCCCAGATGAGCCTCTGGCACCAAGAACTCTCATGAAGGAAGCATGCAAGTCCAACCATCACTGATCAGGAAAGTGCAGCCAGTACTCCAGGAGCCATTTCACATCGTGCTCCCTTCCAAAAATAACCATCCACCTGGTTTCTAATGGTGATGATTAGTTTTCTGCCTTTTCGGATTGTATATAGATGATGTTCTTTCACTTATAATGGGGTTTTATCCCAAGAAACACACCTGAAACTGAAAATAGAGATAGGAAATACATTTAATACATTTAACTTACCAAACATGTGGGCTTAGCAGGATGGGACACTGCAGAGCACTGCTTGTTTACTTTGGTGATAGCTGGCCTGACTGGGCACTGTGGCTCACTGCTGCTTCCAGCATTCTGGGAGAGTACTATCCACTATCAGTTGGCCAAGAAGAGATTAAAATTTAAAAATCGAAGTATGGTTTCTACTGAATGTGTGTCATTTTCACAGCATGGAAAATTTGAAAAATCATAAGCTGGAGACCTTCTGTATTATTAAGTAAACTCTTACAGGATGTTCTGGAGTCTGGCTTCTTCTGTTCAGCACTGGTGAGCATCAACTCTGTTGCTGCATACAGTCTGTCATTGCTGGGGTGTATTCTAGGGCAGGAAAACATCACATTGATCCATCCTACTTTTGATGGATGTTTGGGTTGAGTCCAGTTTTGCTCTGGGACTTTTTGACAACACACTCAGAGTCATGGGTTATGATTGATGAGTGCTGCTCCACGCTAATGACTTTGATTTATAGTCCAACTCTATTTTTGTGGGTACTGAGGATTGAGACCAGGGGTGTCTACCACTGAGCTGAATCCCCAGCTCTCTCTCTTTTTTAACACAAGGTTTCACCAAGTTGACCCAGCTGGCCTTTAACTTGTAATCCTCCTGCCTCAGCCTCCCAAGTCGCTGGAATTAATCAGCATGAGCCACTGGCCCAGTCAATTCTCCTCTACAGATTTTTAAGCACATGACCAAAAGCTTCACGCATTGTGCCTGTGTGCATCACACCAGCCAGACCTTAGTTACTCTTCTAGCAATCAAATCCCTTCACAACAAAAGGGAGAAGGAAGAATGGGTATTATGGGACAATTAGTTGTGTCTGTCACACATACCAAACTGGGCAGGAAGTTCTGAGTTCATTTACCATTATATCAGAGGTGCTTGCATACACACACACACACACACACACACACACACACACAAATGCTTTGATAATGCTAGAATAGCAGATGTAGTTCCAGATATTTCTGAACACAGGATTGGGTCTTTTTCACAAGAGAAAGATTAAACAGCTGAAGACTAGAATTTAGACTGCTCTTGGATTAGCAAGTCATCTTTAACTAGCTCAACCTTGTGTTTTAGATAAAACACAGATGATGCTGTGTGATCCTTGGTATGAGTCGGTAGCATTACATAAAACACATGACAGTGTCTAGTAGTACACAGAGCATGCTCAAAAATTATCTTCTCTTGAATTTGGAAAAGTGTTGGCAATATCCATTGTGACATTAACTGGTCCTTTTTCTGCCCAATAACTGCCTGCGGTTCAAGCTGCACAACTGCTGATTTGCAAAACTGTTGGACATGAAAATTAGGTAATCCAACACATTTAATCCCTCATGCACTCTACATCTATGTCTAGACTAAGAAAAACTAACAGAAATTTGCTACCTAGACCTAACATTCACTTGTCAGGAATATCTTGGCTTTATCTTTGGTAAGCCAGTCTGTGTTTTGATCTGGGTGATACCAGCCACAGAGTCAAATCTGTTATTCAAATTTAATACTACTTACATTCTGGCATGTACTTCTGATTTTTCCCTTCAGTCTTTTTTTTTTTTTTCCAGTACCAGGGATTGAACCCAGGGGCACTTCACCACTGAGCCACATCCCCCAGCCCTTTTTAATATTTTATTTAGAGATAGGGTCTCACTGAGTTGCTTAGGGCCTCACTTATTTGCTGAGGCTGGCTCTGAACTCACTATCCTCCTGCCTCAGCCTCCTGAGCCACTGGGATTACAGGCGTGCGCCACCACACCCAGCTCCCTTCATTCTTAATCATCTATCTCTTTTACATGATCCTGGTTTCTTGGCTTATTCATTTTTTTCTTTCTGGTACTCTCTCTTCTGGGGTTCTATAGTACCCTTTCATTGAATATTGTAATACTTTGTCTAGATATCTGTATTCTTCATCCTCAAAAAAAGGACTGTTCCTTATTGACCTTTGTAACCCTGATTTGCTTTTCTTTATTCATATTTTCTCTATTTTAACAATTATGCTCTTAAAAGTAGCCTAAAATGTTTTGTAGAATGAGATGGAATAAAAACTCAGAAGAAAGTTAGGTAGCCCAACCCATATGTATACAGCCTCAGAATATATTGTAAGCAACACTAAATGGGGAAAAAATAAGAAATCTGGCAGAAGCACCTGAATCAATGAATCAGAGTGAATATTACGAAGAACAGAACAAGTCACCTGACAAGATATAGGAAACTCAGCATTACTTCAAAATAGTCCTCATAAAGATGCATAATTTGAGTCCAATCAGGAGGAAACATCACAGAAGTGCACACTGCAGGCATTCTGCAAAGTAATTGGCCTATGACTTTCAAAAGTGCCAAAAGAGAAGCCAGAAGAGTTCTTCTACATCACAAGGGACCCAAACAGCCTCAGCAACTCACTGGAATGGCTAATTCTAAACTGGATTCTTTTGTTATATGGCTTCTCATTAGGACAATTGAAGAAACTTGAATGGGGCCCAAGAATGAGATGGTAGCAATGTGTCAATGTTAATTTCCTGAATTTGATGGTTGGTTATGCAGAATATCCTGGTGTGTAGGAAATCCACATGAATGTATTTGGGAATGAAGGGACATGAGATTGGCCACTTAGTCTCAAGGAAAATACTTCTTTGTAACTTTTGTGTATGGTCAAGATGGTTTAAAATAAAATTTTTATTTGAATAAAGTATTATTTTGGCAGTTTAAAAAACTTCTTTGTCTTAAAGTAGGGAGTTTTCCCATAAGGTCGCGCAGATGAGAAGAATCTTCATATCTAGATTGGCTTCATTAATTTCAAAATCAAATGCTTACATGAGGCCACATCTGTGTCAAGCTGAAACTGAGTACCTCAGGGCAGGTGGTCTTTTCTGCTGGTTTGATGGCTGGACTCCTCCAAGCCAGCTGCTGGATATGTCCCTGGCTGAGGGAGCGATGCAGAGCTTCATACATAATTTGACCCTGAGAGGAGGGGAGAAAACAGAATATAGACCTGATCACAGTTGGTTGTATTTTGAGGACTGTTCCCCTCAGATGTGTCGGTGGAGGTCCTAACCCCCAAGACCTCAGAGTGTGTCTGAATTTGCAGACAGGGTCCTTAAGGGGGTGATTAAGGTAAAATAAGGTTACCTAGGCAGGCCCTAACACAAATGACTGGTGTCTTTGTAAGAAAAAGGAAGTTAAGACATAGATGTGCACAGAGGGAAGGCCACATGAAGACACAGGAGAAAAAGCCATCTGCAAGGGCAGAGGCCTCAGCAAAACCAATCTGATAACATCTTGACCTCAGACATGGTCTCCAGAATTGTGAGAATATAAAAATTCTGTTGTTCAAGCCCCTTAGTCTGTGAGAGCCCAACTCACCTCCCTGTATCTAGATCCTACATGGGCTCCACCTCAGGGAATGTCCATGCCTCTCACTGTTGTCCACTAAACTTTGCCTTGAAAAAATCAACCAAGAGATTCTTATGCCTATATCTAATTAGTAAAGCCAGCACAATCGAAACTATCACGAATCCAGATGGAAACACAGGCAAAAGCAAAGGCTTCTTAATGTATGTTTACATTTCCAAGACACTGCCAGAATGTTTTCCATTGTACTTGTACCATTTTGTGTTTATAAGCAATGATGTATGAGACTTCTAGTTACTTCGTATCCTTGCCACTGTCTGGTGCTGCCACTCTTTTCAATTTTAGTCATTCTGGCAGGTGTGTAGCAAAATTTCACTGAGGTTACATTGACCTTTAAATGCTGGGTGGCAATTCCCCTTCAATATATTTATCCCAAAGAAATAACTGCAGTATGATTTGTTTGTTTTCAGGCCCTTTAAAAATCTGTATTAAAAATAAAATTCCACTTCAGACATGGTAGCACACACTTGTAAATGTGTTTTTAATAACCAGCAGCTCAGGTGGCTGAGGCAGGAGGATTGCAAATTAAGAAAAGCCTCAGCAATTTAACCTTAATCTTGGCCTTCTTAGACTCCAGAAGAAATAAATGTGTGTTGTTTATAAGCCATCAAGCTATGGTATTTTTGATATAGCAGCCCTGACAAACTGAGAGCAGGGAAAAAGCCTATACAAAACACAAAATCATTTCCTGGAAGAGGTAAACTTAAACTTTTCAAGTACCTTTCAGCTTCAAAAGCGGACATAAAACGTATTGTGAAACACTAAACTAACTCTGAAATAAAATAAAATAGGGCCTCTGCTTCTTACCATCAAAGCTAGATGACAAAGTAAAGATAGCTTAAGCATGTTTTGTTTATGGTATGCCAAGCAAGGAAAAAAGTCTCTTGACCTTGACATTTTCCTTATTTTTTGAAAGATCTAACACAAAGTCAGCTTGGTAGTCTGCTTTGTAATATTGATTAAAAATTAGCAGCCACATCGATGTAGCAGCTCAATTCACAATAGCTAAACTATGAAACCAACCTAGATGCCCTTCAACGGATGAATGGATAAAGAAAACATGGTTCATATACACAATGGAATATCACTTAGCCTTAAAGAGGAATGAAATTGTGGCATTTATAGATGAATGGATGGAACTAGAGAATATCATGCTAAGTGAAATAAGCCAATCCCCAAACACCAAAAGCTGAATGTTGTCTCTGATTAGCAGATACTGATCCAAAGTGGGATGAGGGATAGGGAAGAATGAAGGAACTTTGGTTTGTGTAGAGGGGAGGGAGGGAGGGGTGGGGCTGTGGGGATAGGAAGGGTAGAATGAGACAGACACTATTACCCTATATACACGGATAATTACATTACTGGAGTGACTCTGCACCATGTACAGCCACAGGAATGAGAAGCTGTGATCCATTTGTGTACAATATGTCAAAATGCATTGTACTGTAAATAAATTTTAAAAATTAGTATTATGTCATTACCAAAAAAACAAAATGATAGCTCCTTATTCATATTTTTTTCAGAAATCAAATATGTAAAGTGTAAAGACATGACCCTCAAAGATATTCAAAAAATATAATGGAATAAAGTTGTTTCCCTAGGACATACATGTATCCTTCCAAGGGGATGTTCCTAAATTCTCCCACATGACCTACAGGGTCAATGCAATCCCAGTCAAGAGCCCATTGCCCACCAGACCTACCCTCCACCCCAGTACTAAGGATTGAATTCTACCACTGAGCTACATCCCAGATCTTCTTTTAAATTTTATTTTAAGTCATGTTCATGATAAATTGCCCAGGCCAGCCTCCTGTATCAGCCTCCCAAGTAGCTGGGACTACAAGTGTTCATTGTATGACCAAAACAGCAGGCTTTTTTCTGTAATAATTGATATGCTGATTGTAAATGTTTAATTAAATGTTTAATGAAAATGCAAAGGACCAAAAATAAAATAAACAAACAAAAACAAAACCGGAGGGGGATACAAATTTAGAGCACTTATGTTATCTGATTCTGTAATCATCAGCGTAATGGCAAAAGGACACAGTGGCATTAATAATAGATATAAAGATGAATGAACAGAATTGAGTGATAAAAATTCATGCACATACAATCAATTGTCTTCAAGAGGATAGAAACTTTTTAATAACCAGAGCCAGAGTAAATACTGCATGGAAAAAAAATAACTACAATCCCTACTTGACATCAAACAAAGAAAAAAATTATGCCCCATCTCTTTTCCTTAGATTCCTCATCCATGGACTCAACCAACTGAAGATAAAAAATATTCTGGAAAAAAAAGTGCATCTATACTGAACATGTACAAACATTTTCTCCTTTCATTAGTCCCTAAATGATACAGTTTAACAATTATTTCCATTGACATGTGTATTGTATTAGTTAATATGTATAATCTAAAACCAAGTTAGAATATATGGAAGGACATGAATGAGTTATATACAAAGACTATGCCAATTCATAAGACATAAGTATCCATGATTTTGTATCCATGGGGGTCCTGAAACCAATTCCCCACACATAATGAGAGAGGACTGTAAAATGGGTCAAAGACTCCAACATGAAAGCTAAAACTACAATACTTACAAAGAAGAAAAAAGAAAAATGAAGGAAAACACAGTAAAAAAAATTGCAAGCTTGGGATAGGCAAAATTTCTTATGACAAAAATACACAAAACAGTAAAAATAAACAATAGTCAGGCATAGTGGTGCATGCCTGTTATCCCAGCAACTCAGGAGGCTGAGGCAGTAAGATAGGAAGTGCAAGGCCAACCTTGGCAATTTAGCAAGACTCTAAGCAACTTAGTGATACCCTGTCTCAAACTAAAAATTATAAAGGAATATGGATGTAGCTCAGTGGTAAAGCACCCCTGGCATCAATCCCTAGTACCAAAAAGAAAAAAAAAGTGGAGGGTGGGGAGACAGAAATATAAATGATAAATTGACTATATCTAAACAAACAAACAAAAAAACACCTGTTCTTCAAAAGGTGCTTTTAATGTATAAAATACTAAATCACAGATTAGGAGGAAATATCCTCAATATGTATATCTGATAAAAGAAATTCAATCCAAGAACAAATAAGAATTTATATTACAACTCAATAATAAGGGAGGAAGCAATTTTAAAAAATTTAAAAAGAGCAAAAGATGAGGACATAAAATAAGATACCTGTTTCAGTCAGCTTTTTCACTGCTGTGATGAAAAGACTCTACCAGAACAACTGTAGAGGAGGAAAAGTTGATTTGGGGGCTCACAGTTTTAGAGGTATTAGGCAGCTGGCTTCATTCCTTAGGGCTTGAGATGAGACAGAACATAATGGCAGAAGGGTGTGGTAGAGGGAAGCAGCTCACGATGATGATCAGGAAGCAGAGAGAAAGACTTTTACTTTCCAGATACAAATATACCCTACAGGCACACCTCTAATGACCCACCACCTCCAGCCACACTCTACCCACCTTCAGCTCCCACTTGGTAAATCCCATCAGGGAAGCATTCACTGATTGAGTTAGGTTCTCATAATGCAATCATTTCTTCTCTATACCATCTTACATTGTCTCATGCATGTCTCACACCTCACATCTAAACCACAACAATATCCAAGTGATCAATAAGCATGTGAAAATATGCTCCACATTTCAATCAAGAGGGAAATGGAATTTTAAACCACAATGTGATACTAGATATTTCCATTCAGTAGAATGGCTAAATGGCTAAAATTAAAGACTCGCTGTATCCAAGTGTTAGTGAGAAAGCGGAACAACTAGAATGCTTGAAAAATATAAAATGGAACAGCCACTGTAGAAAACAGGCCGTCAGTTTACTTTAAAGGCTATGTATAAAAACATACACTCACGACATGACCCAGCGATTCCTCGCCTACTTTTATACTTGAAGAATATAAAAGCACGTGTTCACACAAAGAGGGAGTGTGTGTGTGTGTGTGTGTGTGTGTGCACACACGCGCACAGAATATGTACAGCAGCTTTATTCATAAAGGCCACATCTGGAAACAACCCAAGCGTCCACTAGTAGATGAAAGGATAAGAAAACTTGTGGCATATTTATACAAAGGCATACTGCTCAGCAACAGAATGGACTCAGCTACTGAAAAACAGAACAACAAAGAAGAATCTCAGAACATCACACTGAGTGAAAGAAGCCAGACAGGACTATTGGCTATTGGGGATGCAAATCAAATCAAGATGGCGCCTGGCAGTTTGCCAGAAGGAGTGGTTTGTGAAGCAACGCCAGCAAGCCATTAAAATGATGGGGATTCCTTATTGGCTGACTGCTGTATCTAGATGATGTTAATTAAGTTAAACTGTGTGTAATTAGTTAGGTATATGTACCTCTGCTGTCCCGCAGAGAGGCGGCTCCTGTTACCTTGGGTGCCCGCTACTTTGAGTTCTCGCTCAGTTCTCGCTGAGTTCACTGGCAATAAAGTAGTTTCCATTTCAACCTTCAAGTCGCTTGTCACCTCCCGGTTATTTGTGCCCAGCGGGACTGTGGCAATTGGCTTTACGATCAAATCTATAAAATGTTCTAAGACAGGCAAAGTGAGAGTATAGTGGCAGAATCAGATCAGTGGTTGGTTATGGAGTTGGGTTTCGTCTACCAAAGAACACAGAAGTTTCTGCACTGATGGAAATGTTCTGTACTTTGACAGTAGTGCTGGTAACAATGTCCAAGACTCAAGGAATGGTACAATTAAGCTTGTACACTATTGTATATGAATTAAATTTCAATGTAGAAAGTAAGGCTAGAGCTGAAGAGTGAAAAATGTGGAGCTAAGTCATATGTCCTAACAATTTGACAACTAAAACTCAGTTCCAAAGTAAAAAATAATTTCCACTAAAATAAAAAAAAATTACACCATCAAATCTTTGCAAGGACAATTATATCCCTAGTCTTGAGGGAGATGCAGAAGGGCTTAGGCAGCCAGGGAAGGATGGAAAGTGAGGAGGTTGGGGGCAGAGCCAGACAAAGGAGCATGGAGAGGGTCTTCTGATGAGGTCAACTTCCTACTTGATGAAAGCACTCGTGGACACAAGCGAGGACCCAATCAGACAGACACTTCTGTACTAGTGCTCCTAAGTAGGGGATCCAGCAGAAATACTAAAACAGACACGTACACAGAGGGGGCACCAATCAGTAATAGGAGAATATGGACAGGGGAGGAGAGAAGGAAAGGAGGCATTCCAGAGACCATAAAAAGAACAGGCCAAAACTTCCCCACGGGATTCCCAGCTCTGGGTCTCCTTCTCTTCAGAGAAGTCTATTTCTGTTGATTTTGCAATAAATCTGACGCTCACTTGCTATCTCTGTGTTCTGTTCTTCAATTTTTTGCTGGATGGAGTCAAAGAAATGAGTATCCCTAGACAATAACAGTCACTTGTTGATCAGAATGAAAAGGGCCAACAGTATTACCAGCAAAACAGATTCTGATTAAAATTAATAAGACTATATTTTACTCAAGGAATTACAGTGAAAAAACAAATTCCCTAGTACACAAGATGCTGAGATGTATTCAAGGCAGACTTGCTTTCCAGACATGGTGAAAGACTAGTCCAGGTGAGGCCTGTTCTTCCTTATTCCAGCTGAAAAAGTCATGTGCCCACAAGATACCACACCAGCCCAAACCCTTAACAGGCTACTCACTATAGTAAAGTGATGAGAAGGTCAACTAACACAGGGCACTGAAACACAGCATCTCAATTCATGCAACTGCTTTGACTCAATAATCATAATGAGAATGGCTAGACTTGGTGATAAATAGTTAATGATTTAAAAGACGTTAACAGCCAGCAAACAGGTTTTCATGGCTAAAGTAGATTCTGGAAACAGTTATGAATCCCAAGTAAACAAATAATAATAGGGTTAGATATTTCTATTTCACCCTCAGTAGTCACCACAATAATCTAATTTCACTTATAGCAACCATTTTAACTTATTGTAAACAGAAAGCCTGATTAACAGTAGGAGATATGTATAACCTGGCATTTATGTAAGGAAAAATCAGAGTGTTGATTTTTAAACTCTCTTCCTACCTTCTAGTGAAAGTATTTTACTCCCTTTAAATGTATAGCTAAATCTCTACATCTTAGTTTTAGTACAGTCTAGCTCCAAGAACGTAAAATACCAACTGTCAAAAAGGGTGGAGTAGGTCAAATAATACTTGAATGAGATTGATTAATAATTCTGAGATTGCAGCCAGGTGTGTGTGTGTGCAGACTGTAATCCCAGCGATCTGGGAAGCTGAGTTGGGGACGGCAAATTCCAGGTCAGCCTCAGCAACTTAATGAGACCAGTCTCAAAATTAAAAAAATAAATAAATAAATAAAAAGGACTGGAGATGAGGCTCAGTGACAAAGCACCCAATACTCAAAATAAAGCAACAACAACAAAAATAGATTGTGAAAACACACACAAGTAACTGTTTTACCTCTGAATAAGTAGAGATTGGAGAATCTAGTGAGGAGAACTATACTCCAGTGCCCAAGACACATGCAAAATTAAAATCTCAAGAATATTCTCATGAAGGACAAATGTGGCTTGTTTTCAGATCAAAACATACCAGGAAATTTCTTTAGAAAGTAGAAATGGTATGGAAGACACTATCTGTAAAATTGAATTTTATGGTTCATGAGTAGCTGCCACTTCTAATGCCCTTTTCTAGGTGCTAAAGAATGTTCCTTACCTTTCCTGACATAGATGGTTTCACTTTCTTGAAAGCTTCTACAAAGTATGACTAATCTTGAGTTGACCTGTGGAGCAAATTCACAAATAGACACACCTCAGTAGAGTCCATTGACCATAGATTATTAGTTTCTCTTGAAGGTGTTCAAGGCTTCAAGGGAAAACTGAGGAGATGAGTAACGAAATGAGCTCTTTTCCAGAAGAATATTCAAGCCTGATATATTCTGCTCATCAATTTTTTGTTTGTTTTTTCAGTACTAGGCCTCGTACATTCTAGGCAAGTGCTCTACCACTGACCTACATGCCTATCCCTGCTTATTAGATTTTAATCCAGTGCTGACCAAGGAGATTTACCATTCAAAAACAGTTAACACTTTGTAGGACTTCCTTGTGCTGATTAATTCAACTCAATAATGATGTTTATGAAGAACCTGATTTTTTTTTTTTTAGGATACTTCAAATAAATTTAACTGGGGATGAATAATAGAATCCCAATTAAGACTGCATAACATGATTAGATACATCATGACATATTTTATATTATATAAAATAGCACAATACTGGATCAGATGAGGATTTCTTTATAAGTTTAGGGGCCATTCACAAGTAACTGAAATAAAGGAGCTAAACGTTAAACATGGCTTAGTTTAGAATGTTAATATGGCAATTTACGTGATAACAAGTTATACTTAAAATATAAAACTTTCTACTCAGATACTACAGTATATTTACCTAAAAGTAAAATAAAATAATTGTTGAATATATCAAATGAATCTGGATAATATCATTGATTTTGGCTTCATAAGACACCAATACAAAGTCCCTAAAGGCCAGGTAGCTAGAAATGAAAACTGTAGCAAAACAGGGGTGTCAGAATTTGTTATATGTAAGACAACACCCAAACAAATTATTAATAGCAACCCAATATATGTGCTAGGGTCTGTTAATTTTATTTACTAAACATATATCAGAAAGGTGATTCAGCTCTTGGGTAGTATACCTGATTTTTATTTTACAAGATATTCTAATTTTGCTTATTAATATATCACCTACTTCCAAAAGGCATGGAATGTAGCTTATAATAAATGCAGTTCAGATCATTGAAACTTAAAGTTAACCCCAAAACAAAACAAAACACCTGGGGACTTCATAATGAAGATGTGTGTTGACACATCTAGGCAAAGCATGTGTTGCTGTAACTGTAAACAAACTTAGCTCTAAGATTTTTGGTAGCTAAAGAAAAATTGAAAGAACAGTACAAATATAAAAGGACATCTTTTGAATAAAAAGAGAGCACTACAGATTTAAAGTGCACATAAATACATGTGTTTTTGGTTTGTATATGTTTTTGTGGTGCTGGGATGGACCCCAGGGCCTTATGCATGCTAGCCAGCCCATTTTTGTATTTTGAAAGGAAAGACTCAATATATATGGAAAGTTACTCAATTTTCACCTTTTGCCTGTTTTTAACAGGCAAGAAGATAACATTTTAGATGAGTGCTTCCAGAATGGATAAGTGGAACAATCATGACGGAGACAGTGAATGGACCTATCTGCCCTTACTTAATCACTTGTGTATGATAAGATACAATTCTGTTGATTTTAGAGAGGCACTGATTAACTTTGCTATTATTATACTGTCATTAACAGAGGTTATATAATATTCCAGAACAGCTTCTAAAGTTCTCATTTTGAAATGTAAGCTTTATTATCACAGAGAATAGATCCTAGAAAATAGTCATTTTCCAGTACAATTTTGGTTTTAACTATTCAAAGTGATACATTAAATTAAGAGATTGTGGAGAGAATTGTACCTTTTCCATTTCCCTCATCAGCCTTGCTAGTTCTAATCTCAGTGCAGAGAGAAGCTTCTTCTATCAAAGCAGAGAGGTCTGCACTCCTGAAATGAAATAAGTGTTCTTGTTTATTTATTCTTAGATACTGCAAAAGCCCAGGAAGAAATCAGGTGGCAATTTTATATTGTCATATATTAAACAATCAGGAACCAAACTGATGACCAATAAAGTTGGGACAAACTGATGAGGATCAGTAGGAAAGAACATTTAGCTTTCACTTAAAATGTTTCTAATCTTTAGAAAAAGGAGAAGCATGCAGGAAGCAATGCAATGAGAAATAAACCTTTTCATCCTAAGTGCCACAGAAACTAAGATTCATATAAACTTTCCGCCAGAAGGACCGAAAATGTGATGGCTGGAGCCTCTTGGACTACATATGGAAATCAAATATATGGATGTTTGAGCAACGAGAAGAAAAAGCCAGAATTTCTGACACCCAACAGCAGTATTTTCCATGGACTGCTTATATCTAGACTATTATACAAGGGAGAAATAAATTGCTATCTTCTTTAATATAGTGTTGTTGTTGTTGTTGTTGTCACTAAGCTGTGTTTTTACTAATGAAACTTGGATAGTTTAGGGATGAATAAGCCTATGTTGAACCTATGCCATGTGCCTCTACTGTATATAACCTGTAAGAAACGAGCATCTCCTCCTCTCTTCCCAGTACACGAATCTGTTTGCAGAGCACAGTGAGAATCTAAAGCCCAGGACATGAAGGATAATTAGTTTCTCAGGAGAAAAATCTATGCTGACACAGATTGACATTGTTTTGTTTGTTTGTTTTTGGTACTGGGTATTGAACCCAGGGGTGCTTTACCACCAAATTACATCTCTCAGTTCCTTTTATTTATTTTTTATTTTTTTGTTTTGAGACAGGGTCTCACTGACTTGCTGAGACTGACCTCAAACTTACGATCTTCCTGCTTCAGCCTCCGAAATCACTGGGATTACAGACGTTGTGTCACGGCAACCAGCAGTATTAAGTTATCTGTCAAGTTAACGGACTTTGCTTGTGCTATTGGCAAATATGGAAAAATGAGATGCTATGTAATGATAATTATAAATGGAAGAATGCCAGTTTCTCAGCAAAACATAATAAAAAAGTAAAAAATCCAGCCAATAAAAACTTACATGCAATTTATTGTAGCATTTTCCCCTTATAAGAGCTGTGCTAAAGTGATGACTAGCACCTTTGTATATTACATAATGCCTAAAGTAAGGTTATATAAAAAATCATTGAGATGGCTCCAAGTGGAAAAGGGGAAAACAAAGCCTAGAAAGTCTTGAAGCACTTGATTCAGCTCAAGTTTCATGGAAACACCATAACAAGCCTTCATTTATGTAATTAATTCATGTAACAGCAGCAAGTCAGCACAGCATGAGGTCAATGAAAGACATTGGTGTTGATAGGTTTTGCAACATTACAGCTTTAAAATGATTCATAAAGGTTCTTTGAGAGAGAATTTGAATTTTGCAATTAAAAAATTTTCATTTCTGGACACTGAAGTTATTTATTATACAAATCACACAATATATAAAGTTCAAGACTAATAGAGCTTAACTTACTAACCAAATACAACATTTCCGTTGGCTAAGTGTGAGATTATTATATTATTGAAGAATTATAACCAGATAGTGCACAGGGTTCATGCCTGTAATCCCAGCTACCTAGAAAGCTGAGGCAAGAGGATCGCAAGTTTTAGGTCAGCTTCAGCAACTTAGTGAGACCCTAAGCAACTTAGCAACACTCTGCCTTAAAATGAAAAAATAAGGCTCAGGTTCGGTCCTGTCACCCATGTCCCGCGGGGTGGCGGATGCACTGCGACCTCTGTGCAGACCACAATGCCCACCATCCCCTGAGCCGCCTGTGCTGGACGTGAAGCCACCCTTCCTGTGCCAGGAGTCGCTGAGTGGCCAGGCCTTGGGCCGGCCTTTGGTCGCCTGCGTGGGCCTCAATGTACCTGCTTCTGTTCGTTATTCCCACACGGATGTCAAAGTGCCTGATTTCTCTATCGTTGCTCCGAAGTGTTAGATAGCACAAAGTCTTCAAAAGAGGGCAGCCAGACTAGAAAAGGATTCTCCTATTTGGTGACTGCTGCAGCTACTGTGGGTGTTGCATATGCCGCCAAGAATGTTCTCTCCCAGTTTGTTTCCAGCATGAGTGCTTCTGCTGATGGATTGGCCATGTCGAAAATTGAAATCAAGTTATCTGATATTCCAGAAGCCAAGGACGTAGCTTTCAACTGGAGAGGCAAACCCCTCTTTGTGCGCCACAGAACCAAGAAGGAGATTGACCAGGAAGCTGCTATTGAAGTGTCCCAATGGCGGGACCCACAGCAGGATTTGGATCCAGTGAAGAAACCTGAATGGGTTATCCGGATAGGCATTTGTACTCATCTTGGTTGTGTACCCATTGCAAATGCAGGAGATTTTGGTGGTCATTACTGCCCTTGCCATGGGTCACACTATGATGCATCAGGCAGGATCAGGAAGGGGCCTGTGCCTCTCAGCCTTGAAGTTCTCTCCTATGAGTTCACCAGTGATGCTATAGTGATTGTTGGTTAGAGACTTTGAACTAAAGTCCTAGGCTGCTTTCATTTTTCACATCACCTCTGAAGAGTTGAGGGCAAGCCTCCTGTACTTCTAAGTTGGTTGATTTGAAATATTTAAGAATTGTTAATAGTGTACTTGCAAATGTGAAGTAAATTGAATTTAATATTGAATGCTTACAAGCATTCACTTAATACAGCTACTGTTAAACATTGTTAAAAAAATAAAATATAAAAAGGGCTGTGGCTGTGTGCTTCTGGTTTCAATCCTTAGTACTCCCCCCCACCAAAAAAATAAAATCATATACATCCTGGGGTATTTGTACCTCCCGTAATATTAAAGTTAATATTGGTGCAGACACTATTAACTAAGGCAAACAGGTAGCTGAAGCCTGTGGTAGTAAAATGCCTCTCAAAGTGTGATGACAATAATAGTAAAATTCAAAATTTGTATCATCAACTTTAACCCTACCCTCTTTATGAACTGACACCCCATTTGGTATAATCCTCAAGACTTGGCACAGGGTAATTTCTGACATCAAAACTGCCTCAGTCACTCACAGAAAACTACAAACAACTCATTTAAATCTCCTACTCAAAGAAGTGAGATCATTTAATCAAAGACTGCTATTGAAACAAGGACTTAGAGGCTGCTTTTGCTAAAAGCACTGACTCCTGAATTTATTTGGATGCCTGATGGTTAACTGGAAACAGGATACAAACTTGGCATCTCTGCCTCCATTTTGCATCTGTCTCCTTTTCTCTGAGTCATTCTCTCCCACAGTAACTTTGGCTTCCAGGAATAACGGGTCTGATGGATAAATCATACATCCAAGTGCATAAACATGACATTAAGTTATCTTAGTGTGAAATATCAGCCCTGCTGGGAATTCTGTCAGAAAGCCAGGTCAGGGGTGGAGTCATCACCTTGTGCAATCACCAGCCTTTCAGGGCCCCCAGCAGGGCCTGTTCAAGACCTGCAAGACCTGCATGGCACAACTCTCCACTGCTATGTGAGGCCTCATCTGAATCAGGAAAGTGTTCATTGCCCACTCAATCCCTTTTGGGAAACAAACTCTGTTCTGAGGTGAAGGATGCTGTGCTAAAGGGTCAAACTGCATGAGCCCTAAGCATTTTTTTAGTGTAAATGATTTCCAGCTTAGTCAGGCTAGAGAATAACCCTGCAGAGGGTAGGGGTGCAATAGTGATGGAAGGAAGCAAAAGGGAGCTTTTGTGGATCTGGTAATGCTTTCTATTTTTTAATATGTGGTCAATGTACATAATATACAATTTTACCATCCAACCATTTTAAGCATTCCATTCAGTGGCATTTGATATGCCCACATTGGTGAGCAACCATTAACACTCTCCATTTCCAGAACCTTTTTTTGTCTTCCATAAATGAAATTTTGTCCCCATTAAACACTAGGTCACCTCTCACTCTGGCCCCTGTCCCCAGTCCCTGGTAACCACCATTCTACTGTCTCCTTCCATGAACATCCTTTCTTGATCTAGAGGCTTCCTTTGTAATGATTTATAAAGCTGGACACTTAATGTTCACTTTTCCCCATGTCCATTTTGCCTCAATAAAGAAGACCTAAAATGAGGAAATTATATTGGACTTGGCATCAGAAATCTGAGTTCCGAGTTTCAACTGAATGCATCTTTGGGAAGTTCCTTAATTTTTATTATTTTAAAAATGTTTTGAGGGGCCTGGGGATGTGGCTCAAGTGATAGCGCGCTCGCCTGGCATGCGTGCGGCCTGGGTTCAATCCTCAGCACCACATGCAAACAAAGATGTTGTGTCCACAGAAAACTAAGAAATAAATATTAAAAAATTCTCTCTCTCTCTCTCTCTCTCTCTCTCTCTCTCTTAAAAAAAAAAAAAAGAGTGCTGGTCTCCAGCTAGAACAATAACTTTTAATTCCTTCCTCCTTGGGTTCTTTTTTTTTAAAAAAAATGTTTTGATCATTGAAGGAGATAGTACTTTATCTCCAATTGAGTGCATATAATTTCGTGTTATATTGGGGGGGAAGTAGAGAAATGCTTTGAACAGTGATGGTGAACATATCACAGGGATTACTGCAGTGGAGAAGAGCTGAGACCTTCCAAGCAATTACTAAGATAGAAATTTGCTGGAACACAACTCATTGATATCTCCAGCCACCACTGTAGAGGTGTGGAGTGAGAGGGTGGGTGCTATCTAGGAAGGCATGAGCTGTTATGAGAGGTTTAATGTTCATAAAATCTCTCAGCCTTACCTTGACTATCACATAGCACATGGTTCTTTCCAATGTATATTCCATGTGCTATTGGAGATTTTTACCTCAAACCATCTGCTGCCTTATTCAATCAAAAATCCAATCACAAGAAATAAATTCACCAGGGATAATTCTTCTTTTCTCCTCAATATAAATTCTACTCCTAGGATGAGCACTAAACTTTCACAAAGTCCTGTGTCCCTTCAGAGAGCATTTCTCTGGCCTTTTATATCACTGTTATGAACATACTGGCTTTGAGTCATGTCCTCACAGTTTACATAAGAGAACGATCCGGCTCAGTCTGAGGGATTGAGGATCTTCAGGGATATTGTCAAAGGCACTGTACATAGCATTTTCACATGCTCTTCACGAAAATCCAGAGGAGGAATTTTTCTTTACCATTGGCATACTGGGAGCAGCTATGAGTTTTCAATACTTAGGGTTCCCTTTGTTTAAGTAAAATATTTTTCCAAAGAAAGCTCAATATATAACGAGACACCATAAATAAGTGAGATGGGTTTTGAACTTTTTAAGAAAACTACTTATCAATTTAGACATTCTTGGAATTTTTCTAATTCATAGCAAATTAATCATTTAGAAAAACAAATAGTTTGAAAAATACCCTCACTTAAAAGAAAGTAACAAACTTCCCTTTCTTGGAAGCATGAGGGATGGCCTACATGCCATACTTCTAAAAATTTCCAAAGCAACATTATTTTCCTGTTAGTAGAAATAAGGGCTGGAAATCTTTTTTTTTTTTTTTTTTTGTACCAGAATTGAACCCAGGATGCTTATCCATATCCCCGGACATTTTTATGTTTTATTTTTGAGACAGGGTCTTGATAAATTGCTAAGGGCCTCACTAAATTGCTGAGGCTGGCTTTGAACTTAAAATCCTCCAGCCTCAGCCTCCTGAGTTGTTGGGATTACAGGCATGAGTCACCACGAAGGGCTGAAGAATCTTTGTGTCATTAAAATCTAAATACTCTTAATTGAAATGTGGCAATGTTTCCAAACTGTAGTAAGAGGGAATAAAACAAATGAATTCTACTTATTCTCCAGTGAGGGCAATCAGAAAAAATTTTAACATCATATTTAAAAGTTTATAGGGCTAGTGCCTAAATCCCAGCAGCTCAGGAGGCTGGGGCAGGAGGATCATAAGTTCAAAGCCAATCTTAACAATTTAGCAAGTCCCTAAGCAACTCAGCGAAATCCTGTCTCTAAATAAAATATGAAAAAGAGATAGGGATGTGGCTCAGTGATTAAGCACCCCTGGGTTCAATCCCTGGTACCAAATTTTTAAAAATATCTTTAAAGTTTGTAAGTATTTTGGGTGCCAAGGCCAATGTCTCGGCTTGGCACCAGAATCACGAGCTACCACACACCTTTGTAGGTTCAAACAGCAATTCTTTATTCCAGCTCTCACACCGCCTCCACACAGGTCCAGGGGCAATCTCGTTCTGCCGTCTCCCGCACAATTCACCTACTCCACGAGGCTATCTCCAAATCCCATTTTTATCTCACGAGAACTCAACGGGAACAAGCAACAGGAACACCCTAATCCCAGCAATAATCTTCAACCTCTAACTTCCCTAAAACCCATTATCTTAAACTGGCAACGCCTTAAACTCAAGGAGCCGGTTACTTCCTCAAACCGGATCAGCTCTAAACCCGGATCCGCCTTGGTCCTTGAGCAAGGTCACCTTATTAAAGCATGCATGCAATGTCCCATCGAATGTCCTCTAAGCAGCATGGGGTACGCTTGGCAAGGAAATTTCGATGCGTCATTCCTACTTGGTAATGGCCCTCAGCATTTGGGGAATCATTTATTGAAATGGTACTAGAATATGAAATATTAAGAACTTTTTGTAATAACTTGGTTTTCCTTCACTATTTGTTTTACTATATATATTTTAATAAAGGCTCTAATGACATTTCAAGTTGGAGACTACATAAAGCTGAGCCAAAGGAATTGTAAGAAGAAGAAAAATAGTTTTTTAGTAAGTATGGTCCAAAAATACTATATAATTCTACTTGTCTGGGGTGCATTGAGAAGGCAAATTCAGAGACACAAATGCCAAATAAAATATCTGAAAGAGTAGAAATGTCACCCTTGTCCTTCTTGAAGAAAGTTAGATTTCAAAACATACTAAGAACTTCCTCTCACTCATAGGTCTTTTCAGACTTTAAAGACTGAATCTTGGTGGGACTGCAAATTGGTGCGACCAATCTGGAAAGCAGTATGGAGATTCCTTAGAAAACTTGGAAGGGAACCACCATTTGACACAGCTATCCCACTCCTCGGTTTATATCCAAAGATCTTAAAATACTACATGACACAGCCACATCAATGTTTATACCAACACAATTCACAAAAGCTAAACTGTGGAACCAACCTAGATGCCCTTCAGTAGATGAATGGATAAAGAAACTGTGGTATATATACACAATGGAATATTACTCAGCATTAAAAGAGAATAAAATCATGGCATTTGCAGGTAAATAGGTGGAGTTGAAGAATATCATGCTAAGTGAAGTAAAACAATCCCAAAAAACCAAAGGCCGAATGTTTTCTCTGATAAGTGGATGCTGATCCATAGTGGACATGTGGGGGTGGGGGTGGGGGGAGCACTGGAGGAATGGAGGAACTTTGGATGGGGCAAAGGGGAGGGAGGGGAAGGAAGGGGACATGGGAGAAAGAAAGATGATGGAATAAGATGGACATCACTATCCTACGTACATGTACGGAGACACTAATGGTGTGACTCTG